GGTAGCTTTGGCCAGGGATAATTGTGTGCTGAGGCAAGTACCAGAACATGATATTGGAAGTGCCATTTTGTATTTCCAGCTGGGACAACAGACAGCAGTTCAGCAGGGAGGTGCACAAGCTAGAGAGGGGGAGGATGAAATTACTGCCAAAACACTGGATCATGCCACCAGGAGGCAGCCACCCCACTTTCCCCACAGCAGGCACTGATGAGGAGGAAAAGAGCTTTGAAGTATTTAGATAAGAAGCTAGTCCTGCCCTCAAATTAGAAATAATGCAAGCCATATGATATTTCAAAACAGCTGACTGAAATCAGCTGGGAAAACATCAGGCTATCAGAGATTGTCTTTAAAAGATGATTTTATAAAGCAATACAGTAACAGAGGATGTGATGAGGTTGGGTTTTCATGATTGCAAACCTGAGATGCTGAAACAAGAAAATTCTGTGGATGAATGTGCTGGAGAGCAGGTAGAAAAACCTAGGGTTAGATGGATCAGCTTGCTCACTGATCATGATACAGGAAATATTCACAAATGACTTGATGGAGAACTGAAAGAAGGGATTCCTGGAGACCATGGAATTTGCCTTGGTAGAGTTACCAGTGTGCCAATTCATAGCATCTCAGCTCTTTGGAGCTGCAACTAAAGCTGACATTTGATCTTGACAATATTGGCTAAATTAGATGTCAAGGGAGTGAAGACACCAACCAAAAGAACTGGCAGGTTTGCCATGATAATAAACCCAAACTAGTCAAAGATTTGAATACTTTCAAAAGAACTGCTCAAAGCCAGAAAATGTAATCACCACTTCCAGGGAACTGATGAAGAAGCCATAATCTATACTTGAAAATGCAAAGGCATAGTTTTGGTGCAAATAAACTTGCTTTGGTCAAAACACAATGTATAAAATACCCCACATGCATTTCCTCAGGTAGATGTTTAACTGAATCCCTGTTAGACTAAGTACTTTATGAGCATGAAAGCATCACGTTTGGCACAGGACTCTGACATATGGAAGTAGTGTTACAGATGCTCCTAAAGTTCCAGAAATTATTATAAAATTACAAAATTACTGGTTAGAGCTTTTACTGGTGCACAGATTTGCAGTAATTTGCATGAAGAGAAAACACAAGAACCTGCAAGAGGATGTGCTTGGAGTCATGTATAATTTGAGTGTGACCCACTTCTGTAATAGAATTAAACCAGTCTCAAGTAAGATGAGTAAAATGAACTAATCACAGTGAAATTTAAGAGCACAATTCTAAATGAAGAAACTATCAAAAAGGGAAACTCCCCCACCTTGCAGATAAAATGATGCTGACAATACTGGAATGTAACAATAGTGAAATAGGAGGCTGTGCAACAGTACCAGCATGCAAAGTGAGATAAAAAGTGCTAAACATAATTTACAATATCATCTGGCTCTGTAGAAGATGAGGGACTGAAAAAAATCCTACTGTGGTCAGGCAAACACTGTTGCTCAAGAGAAGGAATCCAAGTATAAATTGTACAATAAATACCAAAAATTATGGAAAAGAGCTGTGGAAGCCATAAGGGATCTGTGATTGCTGTTGATACAGATACATTTGGACTAAACAGAAAAGATGAATTATTAATAATTTTTAGCTTGTTATAAAACATGCAGAATAGCAGTGTAAAACAGACTCTAAATCATAGTTCACTTGTCCTGGATTCCGGATGAGCTAAAAACCAAATGATGGCCTGCATTTCGTAAACGACTTGTTTTAGCAATTTGCTTGAGAAATTAGATCAAGCAAAGTAAAGCAAGTCCTTATGAGGCACTGCCACATGGGTTAGCAAGAGGACTGTTTGGTAAATATAATAAAGAACCAGAGGTCCAAGCAAACCATGTCTGCTCTTATTAGATTATTATAGCACGCTTCTCAGTGCTCTGTTGAGATTTCCTGTGCAAAGAGTTATGGGCAATAAGGGACAAACCCCATAGATATGTTTAGTTGGCAATGTTTAAGCAATGAAAAAGAGCTATTTGCCTAGAAATAAAACCAGAACAAATGCTACAAACGTAGCCAAGACAAGTGGTGTTGAAAAATGAAAGGGAAGGTTAGATTTCAGTCTGATTCTATGGCTACCAATTGAACACAGTCTCCTCTCAGCTGCAGTGAGGTCAGATGGCAGAAGCCTTCCAAAGCAGTTTTCCCATTATTGGATCTGAGAAAAAGGCAAAAATAAGAGGCACTCTGTCTCCATGCATTTTAAGAAACAGCACAGTAATATGTTGACAGCACTTTTGGCATGGCAGAAGCAAAGGCTATGTATTCAAACCCTGTCCAGCAATAAAAAAGTTTAAATTAAAAGACTCATTGGCTGTAAAAGGAATGACCATGTAACACATGACACAGTCTGAAAACATTGATAGCTACTGACTTTTAGATTAGATGGCTCTAGTTGTGTATTTTATTAACTGACTGCTTCAGTTTGTAGATGTTACTTTATGCCCACTTGCTGTTTAAAGAAATCAGTTTAGCGGTTGCTATTGACTTGTGCAAAACAAGAAAGAGGGTAACCTTTGGGTAATACTGATCCACGTGTCTGCACTGAAGCAGAAAATAAGTTTGATCTCCTCCCAGCACATCTTTATTTATAATATTACACATCTTGACAGAAATTGGCAGATAAAATAATCTGGTGCCTCTCATTTAAATTAGTGTTGTGTTCCAACTGCTGGATCTGGTTATTATTTTGTCTATGCAAAGAGCATGCTACTATCAGATGGCTTCCCACTGCATAGGTACTTCCACTCTCTGTTCAAGTCAATTATAAACCTTCTGGTAAACAGTTTCAAGCAATTGGCTTTTTGTGGCATGCTGTCTTTTTCTTGTTTTTCAAACCACATTTTTGTAGCTCTTCTGCAAACCTCTCCCACTCTTTCCACATCCTCCCTTAGCACTGACACCTGATTAGGATGTCCAGAAATAGTTTTGCTTAGCCCAGAGATAACTCCACGTCACGGTCTCATTGCATAGTCCATATAAAATAACACATTTAGCAGCTGCATTGCACTGAAAGCTCCTGTGCAGCTGGATGGTCCCAGCACCCACGATTCCAGAGAGCTTTGCAGAGCCACTGCTCTCTGAGAAGGAGCAGCTTGTTCCATGGGGATGACTGAGGCTGTTCCTAATTCTGTGGCCTTGGCTCCATCTCCACTGAAATGTGTGTTGTTTGAGCACCCCAAATAGGGCTTTGTAAGATGTGAGTGACCCATTCCACTACACACAGTTAAAACTGAATCTCTTTTCACCTGGAAACTTCATCAGTCATCTTTCAAATCACTCACAAATAACCTTGAGCTAAAAGGTAATCTCTGCAACCACACTGGAAACCAACCCATATATAATAATAGTAATATTTCTGAATAGTAAACAAGACATAGCTAGCTTCTAATAAATGTAAGTTTTCTGTACTTATTTAGTATATTCCTAATGTTTTAATCTGAATGTCGGTAGTAAATTAAATACCATGCAGATATCTGAGCAGATTAGAACAAAATGGCCCCTCAGCAAACTAGGCTTTTAAATAAATAAGAAACACCAAGCTCATCTGGCAAGCATTGCTTATAATGTTTTGACACCCACAACAAACCATTTACAGACATCCCCATGAAGACCAGTGTGTGCTTGCACAAGGTCCTAGCAGATTTCAAATGTGTTTGTGGGCACAGAGAGAACTGATGTCTAATGTCACCAGCACACCACTAGAACATAAATACTTGTTACTCCAGCACTTAACTCCTCTTCTGGGACTACAGAATCTCTCCTCTATGTCACACACTGATCTGTGTCACACCACAGTACAGATAAACAGATGATAAAATGCACAGAAGTGATGATCTGCCCGGAGGGCAGAAACCCAGCTAAACAAAAATCAGCAGCAGAGAAAAGAGAGAACAGAAGTAGTGGCGTTCACTTTGAGGCATTCACCCAGAGCTGTGTTTGAGACTTGACTTTCACACCCTTCATTTCAAGTAACTGTGCCTTGAAATTTGCTGCTAACAGAAATTTTGATGGCATCTCTAGTTAGGAAGGCTGGTACATTACATGGGGAATGCTGGATGACCTTCAGGTCTGTTGTAGTAGGAATGGGAAGACTTTCAAAAGCACAGAGTGTCAGGGCATGGACCTGGGGATTAATAAACCAAACCTCTGCTGTAAATTGGGAGAGCATCAGTAGGAAAGTACAAAGGTGGAGGAAGGTCTGCATGTCTCACCCAACTGCAGGATGACTGTGGGTTTCCAATGTAATGCAGCATGAAAAAAAGGAAATACAACCACAAAATACTTCAGGCAAGGAATCACCAGCAGGGGAAGGAAACCATCACAACACTTATACAAGACATTGATTAGACCTTGTTAGGGAATGGTCCTTCTCATCCATGTTTGAGAAAGGCAAGTACAAACAGGAACGGGTGGGAGAAAAGGCTGCTAGATTGATAATTGTTCTTCCAGAGAGAAGTCTACAAGAAAGTGTATGTAGAGTGGGAAAAGGAACACAGAGAATGCTCTTCACAGGTACAGCAAAGAAAGAGAAATATAAACTAAAGGTTACATTTGACTCATGAGCAACTGATGAGTAATAAATATAGATTATAACTCTCAGCACAGTTTCTAGGTATCAGTGTCTCACTGTGGAATTGGATAGTAGTGGGAATAACATCTGCATAATCCTTGGATTTTTATTACTGAGCTTGCTAAGTGACAGTGTTACATCCAACAGGGGAGTACTGCACTAAAACACTCAGATTACCCTTTGTACTACCATGACTTACAGACACTCCAGACAAGTTTAGTGATGGAAGTTAAATGTAAATATGACTGTGTGATCTTTGATATGCACCAGAAGGAGCTCAGAACGAAACCAAGTCCAGATCAGGCAAAACAACTCTGAAAACATATTTTCAGTGACTTAGAAAAGGAACATGGAAAGAACAAGAAAAATGCATTTCTTCAAGCAGCACCATCCTTACCTCCCATGAGGAAGAGAAGCCCTGCCACATACTGCATAAGGCCTCGGTCCCAACAGCACCCCAGGACGCCGATAATCCACCCAAAGAGGATAATGGCCACGGCCATGCCCATGAAACCAGCGGTCATCCTGCGCAGGTCTGCAGTGGGAAGACACAAAAACAACATCAGTGGGAACAGTGATAAATCAGCATCATCAGGGCTTCATAACAGTCTTAATCCAAAATGCTACTGATCAGCAAGGACTTCAGTGTGTGTTGGTATGGGATGATTTAGGTAAGGGTGATTCAGAGCAAGGACAAACCATAAATTAAGTCACTAGCTTGGGCTGGGGAGTGAGAGCAGCTGACTGTTTTACCACACAATGAAGCGCAGTGCAGATGCACTCAAGTGACTTGTGACAGCTTGCTCAGGAGCTAGAAGTTGTAAAATGGCCTCAGTGCAATGCAGTGCCTAGTAACTCCAGTCTCTGGGCACAAGCACAACATCTGTTTACATCTTGCCTTCTCATCTCTGTCCAATACTCTCCAGCATCCAAAGGATGTCCCTGCTCCAGCTGATCAGCAAAGCAGTTGCTATGCTTTGTGCCAGCGCAGACATGACAGAGTATGCACCTCAGTTGTCACCCCACGTGTCACTGAGTCCCTCTGGGCCGCAGCTTCCCACGTGTAAGTTGGGCCATGGCACCCAGGGGTGGTAGGAGTGGAACATGGTTCCTGCACAGCAGCAAGGCACACAGGTACTCTGGTGTCAGATGTCACTAAATGCACTCCAGATACACAGCTGGGACAGAGGACACATCATTGTCCTCTCCTGTCCCCAGATGGTGACCTTGCCAGATGATTTTTGGTGAGGATGTTTTTGACTGCTCCAGGGAGCACTAAGAGTAGGAGGAGGGTCGGGCACTGGAGAAAAACATTTTTTGCTCTTCAAGTAGGGACTGAGTACATCTGATGTGGGTGACAGGGGCTGGCCTGCATTTATTTCATAAATAAAGGAAAAGGGCCCCCAAGTCTTAATGAAAGGAATACTTATAGACTTGGCTATGTTGCATATTTATCTTCTGCAAAAAGGATGGGACTATGGGGCTGCTGGGAACCCTCCTCCTGCATGTGCTGGGAAAAAAAATTCTTCACAGTTGGTTTGGATGTGAAATCTGGGCAGTGAGACCACGTGGCAACTGAAAGAGCAAGGACTATGTGAGCTAAAGAGCATCTTCACACCCTCAGATAATGAAACAGATGGGGGCATCTTCACTAACATTTGATTATTCCCTGTCCCCCCTTCATGCGCACATAAAAAGTTTAAACACTGATATATCAAGAGTATATGAGCAAAGAAAATTCCAGCCAAGTCAACTCTCTAAACATTTGTTTCCTTCTTGAGACTTTTTTTTTTTGCACAGCAATGATTTTACTTTTTTTTTTTCCTCTCAAGAAACAGAATGCTTATGACAGAGAAGGAAGATTTGAAAACTGTGAATCATCCACCAGTCTCTATGGCAGCTTTTCTCTTTGGCTGGCCTTTGACTATGTTTCAGTTTCTGTTATTTTTTATGCTTTCCCATAGTAGATAAAAAGACCAGCAATACCCACAACACAGATTCAATGAATTCTGTGAAGAGGTAAATTACCATCATCGGAGATTTATAAAACTTCATATCCAAAATGCTAAGTGTCCACAAAGTCTATCAGTGTGCTTGGACAGAGGGACTTGAAGGCAGTTTACTCAGGTCCATGTTCATTATAGCACTTTTATGCAAGATCAAGTTGGGGAACACAACCTCTTCCTTGAAGCTGTAACTCTTTCCTGTAGATTATCACTGATTTTCCAAGGAGTCTCTCTGACAACATAAAGATAACCAGGTCTTCATCTCACCAGTAACCAGGCTCTTTTAACAAGAAACACATCTTAAAAGTAGTGTATCTTGAAACCTTTTGTCTTAGGTTTTGTGACTGTCCCACTACATTTGAGTATGTTCAAGGAACTCTAGTACAAGAAAAAAAAAAGCATTTCCTGCAGAAATTTGTACTTCCCCCAGGCAGTGTCTCTGTTCCTTGGGAATTTCTCAGAGTGCTTTCTAAAACAAGCAGTAAGCATTAGAAAGCATTTTTGATGGCCAAGTGTCTTCCTACTTTTTCAGTCCATGAGGCCCTGGGCTCAATTTGAAAATGAAAACATAAAATCTTTACTGTTTCCTGTATCATCTTCCATAACAGCACAGCACATCTCTCCAAGGTGCTGCACAGCTCTTAGTGTCAGCCTTACAAACCCTATCCTGTGAGTGCTGACTCCAAGTAACACCATTTGCCTGTCCAAATGGAAACAACCTGCCTCTAATGAGCTTAAATAGCTTTATTCAGGTGCAAGATGTCCAGAACCCTCAAATCTACCCCAATGGATAAAACTGGCTGATGGACCCAGTTTTCATGGACCCAGAGTGGATCACACGTGGATCACATCAACATGTATGCCAGACTCAGGAATGGTGTTTATCTCTATGAATTTTGCCATTAAACAGAAAACTTAAAGGAGCAGGACCAAGATTTGTAGGCCAAATTTGACATTTGTTTCCCTCAACATCTTTTGCTGATAAAGCCTGAAATTCCCTTCCTAACACAACAAAATCCAAATAGAACTTCTTTGTGAACTCTTAGTTCATACAAGTTCAATGAGCTTAGTTTAAGATTGCCACTGCTTAGGCCAGTTGCAAATCTGCTCTTCACAAGTCTATCCACTAGAGATTATCTGAAACAAATAAAATATAAACTTTCTTTTCTATTTAAAACTATTTGGCTTTTGTCCTGCCATAACATCTCTTGAGGGGAGCCCTTGGAAATGGCAGTGTTGGGAAAGGGGTTGTAAATTTGGTTTCAATAACAGCCTGCACTTGTCCAACAGGATCCACCTGGCACTCCTCACCTGTCAGTGCCCACATGAAGCTGAAGTCAGTGCTGGGATCAACTCTACTCAAAGTGATTCTTTTGTGGAAAAGTACTTAATGGATGCAAATGAATCATCACCCTCAGGCTATTTAGAGGAATAGGAGCCTATATTGCCCAGACTCAATCCCTGTTAATGGGGCTCTTTATGATTACTGTTTGTTGGTGTGGTGCTTGACATGGAAAGGACAGAAGAAAAGCAAAGATTTGCATTGTGTACGCGAGGCAATATCTAAATTCGTTCTGCTAATTTAGGATGGAGGGATGACATATAAATAAACAATAGCTCATCAGTACAAATTGATGGGGTTTTGTCTGAGTTTGATTGGCACTGATAAAACCCTTCCTGAATGCATCCTGCAAAGGTAAAAAGGGTCATGCTGTCATGTAACACCACTTTATGACGTTTGAGCACATTCTGGGTTTGGTTTATTTTTCTGAAATTGCTTTTATTTATTTTTAGACTATGAAATTAATAGTTTTCAGCATGCTTTCTCTTTTTGAAAACCTCTTTGGGTAATAGGATCTAAGGGTCATGGCATGACAACACCAATCAACTGAAGGAGTGACTATGCCAGCAAAATGCATTGTTGAATCTTACACAGCCAAATGGGAGCTGCAACAGCAAACAAACTTATCTCAGAGCATTCATGAGCACTGCTTAGCTGGTCCTGCAGCTAATCCTCTCCTGGGTTCCCATCCCAAGCCCTCACACTGCAGCAAAGTGCACAGATTGCAGGGACACTGAATTCCCCTTCACCATCTAGCAACCCAAACCTTTAGAAATGTAGCTACAAGGTGAAAGTAAGGAATGTATTGCATTGCTTATTCCATAAGCTAAAATACAGAAATTAATTTTTAATGCTTGGCCTATATGACCGCTTGTTTCAATTATTTACTATGTTGACATAGATAGCAACATCACTTGGGGGTGAAAACACAATATTATCTTTCCACACATTTTTTAGAAACATCTTCTTTATCCCTTTTTCTTTTTAATGTTGACTAAAAGCTATGAGTGAATAATCTTCTCTTTGGGAGACTTTTCATATCTAGCACTGCTAGAGGTGCTGCTGCATGTAAAAGGCAGGGAACTCAACCCTGACTCAAAAGCAACATGGATCATCAAGCAAGGAATACAGGTATCATTTTCATGTAGGTTGGGAACAACAAACTCCTTGACTGATAACATCGGAGAAGGGACAAAGAATGGAGTAATCCAAGTCCCATGATGGAAGCTGAAATGATAAATTTGAAAGTCACAAGGTTTGTGAATCATGATGAAAAGAGACACATTAGCATTTTAGACAATGTCCTTAAAATATAGACAGATTCTCATAAACCAACATGCATTTCTTTAAAGCATTTTTGTTTTCTGCTGGGAATATTAACTCTATAGGTTTCCTGAAGATAAAGAAAGGCAGAAAAGCTGATTAAGAGTCATTTATTTCCAAGCAACATGTGATGGAAGGTTCTCTGTCAGTTTGCAAATGCCCCTGCCCTTCCTTTCACCCTGATATCTGTCCATCTGTATTTCTTATGAGCAATAAGGTAATTCATGCTGGTTATCACATCGTGGAAGAAGTTTCACACCCCAGCAGCTGCAAACATAACATGTTCTGATTCAGCTTTGCTTTTTAAAAATTTCAGTATGCCTTTTTGACTTCTGAGGTTCCATTCTCTTCCTTGAAACTGCAAGTCATCTTTCTAAAGCAAGGGCTCAGCCTTCCTGTTGATATCAATCTCCCTTTCCACAGAATTTAATAATATCTCCTAAAAGCTAGAGACTGCTTTCCTCACAACACATACAGGAAGGGCTGTATGAGACTCTTCTGAAAGATGGGGAAACCAAGTCAAGAATACTCAGCACACTCCCAGCTACATGAAAAGTTTGTGGAGAGTGTATCAATAAATCTGTATTAGCAGGATTTCTGGACAGACCTTGAACCACACAGCACAGCTTTTGCTTTCAGAACTGCTTGTTCTCAAGTGTTTGTTAGCAAATCAAACTACAGTGTTTGTTATCAGACCCTCAGAAAGTGCAATTTTGATGCAAATAGTATTTCAGATAGTCCATCCTCCATGTCCTCCTTCCTTCTCCCATTAGAGAAAGCTCTGCAGGAACTAAGCACCCTGAAGTCTATATCAAGAATATCTAGAATTGCTTAGAAGACATTCTGGGTATATCACAGTTCTTT